TTTACTTCTGCCTTACCGTCTTGAATGTGTATTGTTTCTTTTTCTTGTCTTATTACTATAACCGGAACTCCAATACAATGCTGACTATGAGTGACAAAAGCAGGCAAGTTTTTCATATTATTGGTCTTAAGGGGAAATGCTTTCAGTCTTTCACCATCAAGTATGATGTTACTTGTGGGTTTTTCACATATGGGCTTCCATATGTTGAGGAAGATTCTTTCTCTTTTGAATTTGTTGTTGCAGGTAAAGAACTTGGAAGTCAACACTTCTATCCTTATAACAAGAAAATAGATAAACAAACTAAAAATCAACAACTCTCCTTAGATCCATCAGACAATTGATGTCACAGGGAAAAATGCATACCCCAAAGTTGGAGAGACAGGTGGATGCAGAGAATTATGACTTACTGGGAGCAGGAAAGTAGCAAAGTGAGTAAACTGATCACATTCAATTCCAAGGCTTACTAGAGAGCCACAGCAATCAAGACAGTGTGGTATTGGTAAAAATACAGACAAATCAATCAAGGAAACAAAATAAGAAGCCCAGAAATAGACCCAAAAACATAAAGTTAACTGATCTTTGACAGAAGAGCAAAGGCAATCCAATGGAGAAACAAAAGTCACTTCAACAAGTGGAGCTGGAACAAGTAGACATCCAAATGCCAAAAATGAATTTAAACTCAGAGTTTACACCTTTCACAAAAGTTACCTCAAGATGAATCATAAACTTAAATGTAAAATTCAAAACTATAAATCTAAAGGATAATATAGGTGAAAATTTACATGACCATGGGCATGGTGATGACATTTTTAGACACAACACCAAATGCACAATCCATGTAAGAAAAAAATTGTTAGACTTTCAAAATAAAGACAATTCTGCTCTGTGAAAGACACTGTAAAGAGAATAAAGAGACAAGCCACAGACCATGAGAAAATTGTTGCAAAACTCTATCTAATAAAGGATCATTATCCAAAATATAAAAGAACTCTTAAAACTCCATAGTAAGAAAAACAAACAGCCCAATTTAAAAATGAGCAAACAATCTAAAGAAAAATGTCACCAAGGAAGATATATAGATGACAAACAAGCATATGAAAAGCTGCTCAATATCATGTGGAATGGCAAATTTTAAAAAAAGTGAGTCACCACTACTCATGTACTAGAATTGCCAAAATAAAAAACAGTGACAACACCAAATGTTGGCTAGCATGTGGAGCAATAGGAACTCTCATTGATGGTGGGAGCGCAAGATGGTACAGCCAATTTGGAAGACAGTTTGTCAGTTTTACAAAATGAAACATATTTTTACTATGTGGACCTGAAATTGCACTCCTTTGTACTTACCCAAAGGATTTAAAAACTTCTGTTCACATAAAAACCTTTACACAGATGTTCATAACAGCTTTTAATAATTGTAAAATTATGGATAGAGATTCCTTAGATATAGGAACATAATTGTATCCATAGAGTAGAATCTTATTCACTGATAGGAAGAAATGAACTATCAAGCAATGAAACAACACGGAGGAACTTTCAGTGCATGTTACTGAGTGAAGAAAGCCAGTCTTAAAAGGCTACATACTGTATGATTTCAACTTTATGACATTCTGAAAAAAGCAAAACTATAACGACAGTAAAAAGATCAAGTTAGCCAGGAATTTGTAGGAAGAGAGAAAGGGAAGGATAGATAAGAGGAGCACAGTGGAGTTTTAGGGTGATGAAACCCTTCTGGACATAGAGAGTAATCTTAGATACACATCTTACATATTTTTCAATATTCATAGGGCTGTACAACATAGAGGAACCCTAATGTAAACAACAGACCTTAGTTAATTACAGTGTGTCTATATTGGCTCATCAGTTATCGCAAACGTCCACAGTAACGCAAGTTGCTAGTAGTAGGGAAACAAAGAGACAAGTGCCAGGGAGAAACTGTATAGGAACGCTCTGTACTTTATGAGAAATTCTTCTGTAAATCCAAAACTACTCCAAAAAGTAGTCACTAATAAAAATTAAAAATGTATGGTCCACTTTTTATCACTTCTAGAAGTTTATTCTCACTAATTAAAAATAGTTTGTGAGCACCTACTAAGAGTCAGTTTTAGTGACTGTCTCATGACACACTGTTAAAGGATCTGACAATCATGTAGTCAAGATGTTCGTATTTCTGATAATTCTGAGGTCTGTGAAGGTGAACTGGAGCAGGATATGATGTCATTTTCTGGTCATCACCTGCTAGTGATTAGTGAACTAGTTTATCATGTTGCAAGGCTTAATCACATGAGATCATGTGGAGTCGTTTTGGGGAAACTGGTTTCCAAGGGGATATTTCCTTCACTATGAAACTGGAAGCAGACCTCAAGAGACCATCCACATCTGTGAATTGACCTGCTTATGTCTGCAGGTTCGTGGCAGCTCTGCTAGGCTAGATATTTTCTGCCTGCACAGCATTTAGAGATACCAATGTCTCTCATAACCTGCCCAGCATAGTAATGATTTCATTCCTTACTGGTTTGCAGTAGCACAAAGGTAAAGAGCAGAGATTCCCTGGGGCTATAGGAAGGTTCAAAGGTGAACCCTAGGATGGCATGGTCTGTGAACGGCACCTCTGCCCAGGGTAGTCTGCAAAAACATCCTTGTAATTGTAGACCTGAGCCAACTGGGCAAAATCCCCAGCTCATCACTAAGACCTGCATGTAACTCTGTGCAAATGAAGCTGTGAAAAATAGTCCTTGCTGGTAAAAGCCCATGGAAATTGCTGTCCCAACCACAAAGTGGTTGAGAAATCATGGAATCCCCTACAGAGATTCAACTAAGATGCTCCAACTAAAAGACCAAAGAGCAAATACCATATGGGAATACTTTGAATCAATGTCAGGAAGCTCGATATTCAGAAATAAGAGTGTAATCATCCTCTATCCTAACCTAAGACCTAGAACCATGAGAGTTACCACACAACCCCATAACAGGCATCAACAAGAATGTTTCTCACATCAAACATAATGAGGAAAACAAGGAAATCTACCACCATGAAAAAGAACCAATAGACACAACAAATAGGAAAAAACTCACACAAGAGAAAATAAAAATAATGGAGTCATTTCAGCATGCCATGAAAATAATTTGATTTACCACTCTCAAAGGAATTGACAAGGAACAAACATCTATGAAAGGAGAAGGAAACTGAGTAAGTAACCAAAAAAAAAAAAAAAACAGATGGGAGAAAGAACTAACTGGAAACCATTAGTTTATGAAAAATAAATTATTTGAATAGAAAGAGGAAAACCTCAATAGATGCAAAAAACAGGAGACGACACAAAAGCTATGAATTTTTATTTAAATTCGTGATTGCTTTTATAATCTACTTGATTTCTCTTGATCTGCCAAAGCCAATGATGACAAGAGTATATTCTGATGGCTTCCATGTAGAAGAGATCAGTCAATGTTTGTTTCCCAGTAAAACTTATTTTGCCTTTAAAGCTTTTTGGTGTTTGAGTTTAATGGCTAAACTATATTTACAAATATTTAGCCCTCACTCTTTACATAATTGTTCTCAAGCTTCAATTCCATGCCTTTTGCCCATGGCTAACACTTTTGGCTCCTTCTTCCTGACCCTCCTTTGTGAACCTCTAGTTTCGCTCCATACTGGAAAGCTAAATCAGGTCAACTCAGATTTAACCAGAAAACTCAGTGATTCAGTCACTTCAGCTTTGAAATTTGTCTTTTTCAGGAACTTTCCCATTAATAAATATATTTGAGGGCAACTACATGCCCCCTCAATCTTCCTTTGCTGGATCTCTTGTTCTGACCAGAAGATAATGGCAATCCACAGCCTCTGTTTTTCCCTCACTGGTCACTTTTGCAGTTTTTCAGAATCCATGGAAACTTTCTCTTGTCACGTTCTTAACTGGAATAAAATCAAACCTTTGTCATTGTTGCTGGGATACACAACAATATGTGGAAATGCATCCACCAGAAAAATTGTTAATATACTGCAATGCAATCTGAGACAAGTTATGGAGGAACAATGTTCTATTATTAAAGACTGCTTTGCTGAAAATGTTAAAATTTGAACAATAATTCTCCATTTAATAGCCCTCTACAGCCAGTTTTATAGACAGACAAGATTGAGTGGTGACTCCCAGCTGACTATTGTAAATTAAATGTGGGTGTCCTGCCAAATATTATTGAAGTCAAAAGGACACACAAAGGACTCCAGGTGACTACATTGTTGTTATAAATTTGGCTACCATGTTTTACTCAATACCTTCATCTGGTTTGCCCTCATGTCTGAAGGTACTCAATTACATTCTCACAACCTCCTGTGGGAACCTCAATACCTCTGCCATGTTACACCACCTCTGCCATGGGGACTGAAACACTTCAATACACCACATTTTGGCATATAAATATATGATATATTTATGTGTGACCCTGTTTTAGAACAGGTGACCCAAGATCATAAGTCTCTCACAAGTTGTTTATAAGCTATAGGCTGGGCCATTGCCCCTCACATGATTGAAGGGCCTGCAAATATTGCTCAGATTCTTTGGTTAATGTCCTGTGCTCCTCCGAAGCACAAACACTTCCTGAGACCACCAAGAACCTTTTGCTGCCTAGGCCACCTTGAATCTGAAAATTGGCACAACACCTTCAGCTTTTTCAGCTTTAGGGACTACACATATATTTCTTGTCAATATTACCACATCAATTCCTAAAAGTTGGAGAGTCTGCTTCCTTCCAGTGAGGGGACTGCAATAGAGGGCCTTAGGATTAACACACAAGCTGTGTGATAAGCATGGTCGCTGGTCCAAGGTTCCAAGTTTCCACTGAAGCCCTGGCTGCCACACGCTATGCGTCTGGGAGTTTATGGGCCAAGAATGGCCCTAAGGCCACCAATGGGTTTTGGGATCAAATGGCTGTCACAATGCACCTTGCAGGAGATACCATAAAAAAACAGATACTTGAGGCTACTGGGCTGTCTTGAAGACTGAAGTTCTAGGCCCCACTCAGTGGCCTCAGGATTCAGATCCCTCTCTGCTAGTCATAGGAGATCTTTCATGTGGGCAGCTGGACCCAGACAGTCTCCATGGTTACACGGCAACAACTCCTTCAGGACAGGGCCAAACTCCAGGAGGATGACTTCCCCCATGCTCACCCCTCACCTGTGGCCATAAGGGAGGTGGAAGTGCGTCCTCTGCCTGCCGCCTTGGCAAAATAAGGAGCCCCTTGGAACAATGGCAGAGACACCGTTGAAACCAAGAACAAAGGAGTTAAAATCTTCCCCAGCGTCAAAACTTTTAGGTAAGCTTTGCTAACTGCAGCTGTGCATGCCCAGTATAATAAATTGTTTAGAAATAACCAGGTCTTTCTGTTCCTTTTCAGTATACGAGTGAGCTGTCTTTCTCAGGAAGTTGAGGTCCAGATGATAAGATTCAGCCGCACAAGACCAAATGCAGGCTGATGGAAACTAACAGAAAAGTTCAGACAGTCAAAGTGATGAGGATTTTCAGGCTGCTTAATTTTAAAACGGGTTATGATGAGGATTTTTAGGCTGGTTACTTTTAAAACTACAGATGAGAAGCAGGCTCCAAGGAGTGGAATTTGCTTGTCCCTTTGTTGGGAAAGATTTACATTTCTAAGGAAAACCTCTATCTGTGAAGATGTCTCCGTTCTGTGCCAGGAAGAAGGGGAATGGCCTTATCTCTAGAGGCTCCCGATCAATGCCAGAGGCAAGAACTTGAGTTGTTTACTGTCTGGCAACCTCATGTAACTGACCAGCCCCCCCCCCCCCCAAATCCTCCTTTGTCTTTAGCTGAGGATAATATTCAAGCGGTGACTTCTGCCATTTACTCAATCTGGTTTGATTCTTATCTAAAAGTCATGGGACCGCCAAATGGCTGGACCATATGGGCACTGACATCATTTTAACTTTTTTACATATTCTTTGTCTTGTAAAGAGATAACTCACATACCTATGCCTTAAATTTAGCTCTAACCCTCAACTTGGGGCAGCAGAAGCTCTGACTGCCTATGTGTCCTGTCCCCATGCTATTCTATTCTCTAAATAAAAGAGCACTACTGCCAGATCTTAAGAGTCTAAGAAATCTTTCTTTCGACTCCTGGGCTCACTGACCCCGCATCAAAAGGAAAAGAAATTCAGTCTTCAAGGCCAAATATAAGCTGGAGGGAAGGCATTAACAAGCAAAGCCACATGCTCCCCCACCCCTATGTAAAGCCCCAAATAAAGACCTCTACCTTCCTTCCCTTCAAGAAAGCAGGTTTGAGTTTTAACTCCTTTGTCCTTTGGCTGCCTTTCTATAACAAACCTCTGTCTTTACACCAACTTGGCATTGTAGTTATTGGCCCTCCTGTGTGATGGTTACACAGACCTGTGTTTTCATTCAGTAGCAATTTAGTGAGTCATTCTGGAGGCTGTTTGCCTGTGGCTCCCTGGCCCTGGTTAACTCTGATTTCCTCGGAAACAGTCCAACAGCTGCCTAGGGGATTCACCTTCAGGACTGTGCAGGTACTTTCCATCTGTCCCAGCATCACTGGCCCTAAGACCATTTTTATTCTGGCAAGGAAACAGACATTAGATTTTTCCTTTCTTTGTTTTTGCTTGTGATCTGGAACGGACATCCTTTTCTTGAGTTTCTTAGTTAAAACTGACTGTTGTTTTCCCTTTCATTTGGTTCCCTCTGCTTCAGGAGTTTTGTTCCAAGTTGTTGGAGTTTTATTGGAGGGAGGCTCCAATTTTGTTGAAAGGACTAGGTATCTTTCTCAGAGAGAAAACTCTGTGCCCCATTTGATTTGATTGAGTTGCCTTCTTAAGAACAACTTAGGTTTCCTTTTCTTTTCACTTATTTTCCTCTGATTCAGGGGTTTTGTTTCAGGTACCTAAAGTTTTGTTCTCATAAAGAGGTTCTCAGCTATATTTGGTTTGATAATTGTGTATGTGCTTGTATGTACGTGAATGTGTAATTTGTTTGCCTCTTTTTCAGGGGGTTTGTCCCAGGTTACTGTATTTTGTTGGGGGGACCTGATTTCTTGAAAGTATTAATTTGCAGCTCTATTTGAACTAATATTTGTGTGTGTGTGTGAACATATATAATGTATGTGTGGGGGTGATACTGATGTGGATTAAGGCTGCCCCAGCTAGAGAAGCCCAAGGTGACCTGGCCTACATGCCAAACTATATGACCCAGTGGACTTTTTTTATGGTATGAATTAGGACTGCCCCAGGGAGAGAAGCCCGGGGCATCCTCACCTGCATGCCGATCTATATGGCCAGATTCATATCTAAAGTTATATGACCGCACAATAACCAGACCCCATCTGCACTGAAATCATTTAATGACTTTTTACATCATCTTTTCTTTTTTTCCAGTAAAAATAAGTCACGTACCCATGCCTTATAAAATTAGCCCTAACCCTCAACTCGGGGCAGCAGCAGGAGCTCTGACTGCCCATGGGTCCTGTCCCCATGCGGCAGCAGCAGGAGCTCTGACTGCCCGTGGGTCCTGTCCCCATGCACCAGCTCTGCTTGCCCATAGGTCCTGTCCCCATGCCAGCGGGGGCAGCAGGAGCGGCAGCAGCAGGAGCTCTGACTGCCCGTGGGTCTTGTCCCCATGCACCAGCTCTGCTTGCCCATGGGTCCTGTCCCCATGCCAGCGGGGGCAGCAGAAGCGGCAGCAGCAGGAGCTCTGACTGCCCGTGGGTCCTGTCCCCACGCACCAGCTCTGCCTGCCCATGGGTCCTGTCCCCATGCTATTCCACACTATTCTCTAAATAAAAGAGCACTACTGCCAGATCTTGAGAGTCTAAGAAATCTTTCTTTCGACTCCTCGGCTCACCGATCCCGCATCAATACCGTGATAGGAAACTCAGATTCAATTGCCAGTGGAGCCCACTGGGTTATCTCTTGCAAAATTGAAATGTTTTCAGTTAAAAACTTGTGAAAAAGAAAAAGACAAAATGATAAATTTACGGTCTCAGTTTCCTCTCACGCTCTTACAGATCCTAATGAAAACATTAAGTCCAGAAAAACTAAAAAGAAGCTGAGAAAAAAACAAAGGGACACTTCCCAACAAGGTGAAAATTTTTAAAGGTGTCTTCAGGAAATAAGACAGGGGGTAAATAAAATAAGTACTGAAAGGAGGAAAAGCAAAGAGAAATCAAAAAGGGAAGAGTCACAGTACGCATCTCAGCAGGATAGAAACGTTTAGCTAGTTATTAAAAACAAAAATGGGATACACAAACAGATGTCAATGAGATTAAAATAAAGGTTTAATAAATCACAGCCAAAGTTTGAGCAGAATAAAGGGAACCTCCACTGGTCCCCAAAATGTAAAGGACCTCACACAAACCTGTTCTGTTCACATCACTTTGGAAAAATTATTTTTAGAAAGCCAGAAAGCAGAAATCACAATGAGAAACCTAATCAGCAATTTCTTGGGGAAACAGCTAGGCTGCTAATGTTGCTAAGATTATAAAGGTTAACATATTTGACCTAATATTATATGAAGGGGTCATGTTAACTTTGTCTGAACATTTTTTGTGAATGGATATTATGTCTGGCTGAGAATGATTCCCCCATACGGTATTATAGAACTAAGACTTGGTGGTGGGATGATAATGGAAACTGTGATTAGAGGGGTAAGAGTTGATAAAACGAAGATAAAATTTTGAAGAAAAACTTGGTATATTTAAATGGACTTTATGCAAAATGATGGCAATGCTTTTGCCTGATTATGTTGTAGGGATAAACATTTTTTCTCACTTTAGAATATTTCCTCTGCCTGATATTGTAAGAACGTATAAATCCATTCTTCAGACAATGTTAATTAAACACACTAAAGGAGATATCACGTTAAAATAGCCAAAGTGGTGCAATTTCACTCTACTCAATTTCAGTGTATTTGTAGACGCAATTGCAAAAAGCAGGCTGAAAATTAAACAACCAATGGGAAGCCTATTTCATTCTCTTGAGGCTTCCGAATGAAATCAGGAATACCTTACAACCTCTTTAAAAGAAAATACTTAAATAGAAAACACGCCAGGTTGGAGGGTGTCAGCTGCACCAGCTGCCTTCTAGGTAGCAAAACCCAGCCAAATCTGCTGCTCCTCTGTCCTCTCTCCCTGAACTCCCCTACGTTAATGCTCCCAAAATTCCTGATCTAAATGTAAACAATAGAAAATAAGTAAACTTTTGAGGTAAATTGGAATAATAATGGCCATTCTGGGGAGCCTCTGTTTCAGATGAGTCCACCTTAATGGTCACCCTTAAAAGAGAGGCTTCAAAACTTCTCAGACACAATGGAATGCAGTCTTTGATTAATACGCAAAAGCTTCTAAAAGACAAAATGATTTCAAAAACAGCTCTAAAAAGGATCCTCACTACAAAATCAAAAGAATCTTGAATAAAAATCTTTGGCCATCTGAATAAGTCTATCTCCCAGAAAAACAGTTTGGAGACAACTATTCTTGAGTTTTGTGCCTGAGACCTGGTTAAAATTCTGAAGATCTCTGTTTGTGTCTATCTGTCTCTATATGTATTTGGCTGCCTCAGACGGTATAATGTATAGAGGAACTCTATTTAATTGTTTCAAAGCAAGTGCTTATATAAATGAATTTTAGATGTAATAAAACCCAACCCAAATGATTTTCAAGTTGACATGATATAAAATGATCTTTGGTAAATGAAAGCTTGTTTAAGTTTGTTGGTTTGATTGAAATAAATATGTCTTCAGAGTTAGCAACATTGGATATGATACAGACATGTTATCTCTTTTACAAATCTTGTCAGTAAAAATAATAACATACAGGGGGTCATCACCATTGCCTAGTGGATAAGTTCAGCATCCTCCATTTCAGGGGCCCAGGTTCAGTTCCCAGGTGTGGACCTACACTACTTGTCAGTGGCCATGCTGTGGTGGCAACCCAAATACCAAAAACTGGAGGATTGTCACAGATGTTAGGTCAGGACAAATCTTCCTCAAGCCAGAAAAGAGGAAGATTGACAATACATATCAACTCAGGGCAAATCTTCTTCAGCAAAAGATAATACTCATAATAGTAATAATAACAATTATAATAATAATAATACCTTAGAATAATAGCTGCTTTTCTTTGATGTCTTATGACATTTCTGTGGTAAATCTAAATATAGTCATCAGGAAAAGGTAAACTAAATAGATGAGCAAATGATAAAAGCATTTGAGGGAACTTATTAACAATAATTACGTATTACTGGGTATGTGCTTAAACAACACAAGATGATGGCTAATTGCTTTAATGTTGATGTGGATTAAGGCTGCCCCAGGTAGAGAAGCCCAAGGTGACGTGGCCTACATGCCAATCTATATGACCCGGTGGATTTTTGGGGTATGAATTAGGGCTGCCCCAGGGAGAGAGGCCCAGGGTGTCCTCACCTACATGCCGATCTATATGACCAGATTCGTATCTAAAGTTATATGACCACACAATAACCAGACCCCATCTGCACTGAAATCATTTAATGACTTTTTCCATCATCTTTCCTTTTTCCAGTAAAAATAAGACACGTACCCATGCCTTATAAATTTAGCCCTAACCTTCAACTCAGGGCAGCAGCTCTTCACTGCCCATGGGTCCTGTCCCCATGCTATTCCGTACTATTCTCTAAATAAAAGAGCACCACTGCCAGACCCTGAGAGTCCAAGAAATCTTTCTTTCAACTCTTCAGCTTGCCATCCCCACATCAATGTCACATGAAGTTTTTGTCAGTAATCTAAATGTAATTGTTGGGAACAAATAATTTAGATAGATAAAGATGGGTAAGAGCTTTTAAGTGCAATAATTTCACTTTATGGTATGTTTGCTTCAAAAATTGTTTTGGTAACTTAACACTTTAGAGTTTTCCTAAGCTAAATTAAATGATGAAATTTCATTGAATATCTGGATCGTTTTCCAAATAAAGTAAAATACTAAAAGTTGATTGCTAAGAATAGATTTCTCTGTCTTGGCTTCTTTTTTCAAAGTAATTGAAAAAAGCTTAGGTTTGTTGATAAACGTTTTGTACATGCTGAGAAATTTTCTTTCAGAAAGCATATATTTCAAGAAAGTCAGTATACCTGGAAAAGAAAATGTATATTTTCAGTAAAGAAGATATAAAAAACAGAGATACTTTTGTTTGTTTTGTTAAGAAACATAAATTTGTCCTAAAGTTTAGGGAAAGAAAAGCGGAAAGAAAGCATGTGACAAATTCTGTATGTAAAAAGTGATGGAAGTCCTGTGAAAGGAAAGCCCTGAGGAGTTTTGTGCATGGTCAAGTTGGATAAGATTGAAATAAATTTAATTAAGTAAGTTTCGATTTCAAAACTAAGGTGGCGTAAAATTAGAATTTGGCTTTCTTTCTCTATTTTTGATTTATTACCTTTGCTTTTGGTGTCAAATCCAAAATACGATTGCCAAGACTAAAGTCAGGAGCTTACCATTATGCTCTCTTTTAGGAATTTTAAGCAAGTCTCTTTTGTTAATGTTCAACCCCCAGGACTTCAGATTCAAGCACAATGTCAGGCACACAGGAGGCACATAATAAATGCTTGTTGCATACATGTTAAATGAGAGCACCTGGGGAATGAAGGATAAAAACTAATCATAAAGAAGTTTAAGATCCCAGTTGGGTGGAATCTGTAATCTCCATCTATGTCTATATCTATCTCTATATCTATTTCTATATCTGCAGACATATCTATATATATCTACATCCATATCTTTAGAAGTTTTCCCCAAGTGTTAGAAGTTTTCCTGTTAGTTTATTTCCTTACAATTAATTCTTTACTGACTGAGACTTGTTTTTGTGTCTTCCATGGTGAAGCCCATTTCACTAACTCATTTCAGATTAGAGGTCATATTGGAGTTTAGTCTGTGCCCCCTGAAGACAAGCTGATTATCAAGGCTTGCACCATCAAACAGGGGAACAGGAGACACTGAGAAACCACTGGTGAAAATGCTATCAAGAAAGTAGATGATTACTCTCTGGGTCAGGTGGGTTTCCAACCCTCCTTATTCCTATTTTATAGGTTCCTAAGAGCAAGGCTGGAGAGGATATCGAGGTGGCCACTGATGTAGGTTTCCATCACATCGACACAACCTACCTCTATCAAAATGAGAAGATTGGCAAGGGCCTCTAAGAGAAGATGATGGATGGTACTGTGAAGAGAGAGGATATATTCTACACCACCCAGGTGCTGTGGGCAGGGTGATGAGATGTACCCGTAAGATCAGCTATGTTATTTGAATTTTTGTTTAAAAAAATATGGTTTTGATTTTAATAATTTACTTATCTCCTAACATCGTAGAGGACTATTATTGAAAAACAGAACAGAAAAGAACTGCTTTGCTCTGAAATATGTTAAGGGTGGAACACAGGTGCTCACCTTCCCTGAACATCAGTCAGCTTCCATATGTGAATCATGAATAATAATATTTTCCTCCTTTGTCTGTTGTATGGACTGACTGACCCACTATGGAGTGAGTCCACTCCTTTTATCCTTCCGCAGATTCCCTCAGGACATAACCAAGTAAGGCTGACGTATTATTCAGAAAAAAGAACCAGACTAAGAAATGCTTTTTTCAAGGCATCATTGAGTTTGCTGAAATGTGTAAAATTTTCTTAGGTGTAAAACCCTGCTTCCCATGTCAGGAGAGCTGAGGTCTCTTTAGAATGATCCTACCTATGTCGACTTGAGTGATAATGTTCTTAGAGTGTGGACCTCTCAGCAGAATTGTTTCCAGGCATTTATTATATAGGACAGTACGTTCGATTTCCCCTTGCCTGACATTTCTCGACTCTCCTCTTCCAGAGATGACCTTTCTAATCCTTGAAATACGTAGGTTGCTTTTCCTGGGCCATCTAAGTATTATTTACAGTTTTTTTAGAGTCACTCAATTAAATCTCCCTTCCCATTAAGGAGCACATTTATACTGAGTCAAGTAAACTTAGCCCCAGTGCTTCTTATTTTTAGACAGACGCAGTGGTTTGTTACTCACTTCTCAATCTTTAAATATGAGATTTCATTTGGCTGCCCTAATATGGGCAGTCGAAAGTTGTTTTTCATTTCTTTTGATCACCGCAGGTTTGGACTACTTTCCTTCCAACAGAACTGGATCAAACAGCCCTGGAAAGATCACAGAAGAAACTTGAACTGGACTACATAGATCTTTTTACCATTCATGTGCCAATTGCTATGAAGGTCAGCATTTGCTTTTTATTGTTATGCCCAAGAGTATTTCATCACTGCTGTTGTACCTCTAGTCTCTCATTTCAGCTAAATTGTCTGGGTTTTTACAGAAAGAGGTAAATTTCAGTATGACAGAGAGAATTGCTAAGTGATATATGTCACCTTGACAGTTGTGTCACTTTACTAAGAACATTTTTTTTATCCTTATCCCATAGCTTTCAGAAGGATTGATTTCAGGGATCTCACGGCCTCCACTTCAGAGAGTTAAGGACACTCCCTTACATTCCTAAGTGACCTGGAGGGAACTCTGAAAGGACAAGTGAACCCCTTGGAGACCACAAGTTGCTTTTCAGAAGATAGTATCCTACAGATAAGTAACATATGACTCCTTGGTTCTTACCTTACTTGTTGGACTATTAGACAGCAGGCTACTTGGCTACATCAGATTTCGCCTGAGGTTCTAGGCAAGAATCTTGATTGGTTACAGGCCTCTTCTCTTGGATTCCCCAAAGATTAAGGTCTATTATGGAAGGGATACTAAAATTTAGGCTGTATATCTTGCTAATCTGTGTGGTCAACCATGTAATTATAAAATGTGAATTTAAGTGTTGTTCCAAAGCCTTTATCAGAGTACTAAAGTAACAATCATGCAAAGTATATCTCACTCTCCCAACTTGTGCTCAAAAATATTTTAAAATAAAGGTGAAACAAGTCCATTCCTCTGACCCTGATCCTCACCCTTTTAGAGCAGGAAGTAGCTAGAGTGGTCATCACCCAGATTTCCCAAGATTGAGAAATGAGCATAAGACAGTGGGGATTTAAACTGAGAACGAAGGCATTAAAATCTTCCCTAGAGGGAAATCTTTGAGATAAACTTTGTTAACAGCAGCTGGGAATACACAATATAATCAACTGTTGTTTAGAACTAACTAGGTCTTTCTGTCTCTCCTTAGTATATGAGTCAGATGTTTTTCTCAGGAAGCCAAGGTCCTGACGTCAAGATTCAGCCTCACAAGGTAAAATGCACGCTAAAGATGAAAAACAACCAGAAGAGTCCAGATTGTCACAGGAAAAGAAATTCAATTTTCACAGACTTCTGGGAAGGCATCAACCAGCAAGGACACATGCTTCTCCACCCCTACTCAAAACTCCAGCACATACTCCCCCTCCCCAACATAAAACCTCAGATAAAAATGCCTGCTTTTTTCCCTTCAATGAGGTGGTTTTGAGTTTTAACTCCCATGACTTCTTCTAGTTTCCTTTCGATAATACACCTGTTTCAATGACACAATCCTGGCATTACAGTACTTGGACCTCCTGTGACTCAGGTAAGGAAATGCTGTTTGTGTTCAGTAAAGCATTACATGGAATGGACCTTACAGCTAGCAGTGTCATTCCACCTTGCCGGGGTCCCGCCCCGGCAGAGTCCAGGTTCCTGAGGGATGGACGGCGTCGGCGCAATGAGGGGAAAATAAAGGGGACGTGAGACTTGGGTTGGTGTTAGCAAGTCCAACTTTACTGTGCACAAGTGTCGTTTATATATTTTTCAGGATTAGTACAGAAATGGTTCTACAAATATTCTCAGAGAGATAAGGAAGTAAAAAACGAGCACAAGAATATTTATTAGCATTCTATTCTATATAGCATAAGGTTAATGGTAGTCTCCTCCGCAATTAACTAGTGGTTGTTGTCTCTAAGCTAAAGGAGATAGGTACCTAGGCGTCTGATGTAATTCATGATAAAGTTAAATCAAAGTGAGAAGGTCCAGGCCTCCGGACAGGACAGCAATCTGTCTGGTTACATCCTGGTGGAGCCATCCCTGCCTTCCTCAATCATTTATGCCATTAGTGTAGATGGTTAATGGGAACAAAAGGCGACTCCAGGGTATCTTATCCCCAGGGCTATCTGAATTCTCAGTGGGCAGTTAAACATCTTTACATTTTCGCTCCCTTTAGGGGGTGGAAGCATTCCTTTGTCTTGTAGATTGTAGAGCTAACAGTCCCTTAAGTACACTGCTGGAGAAAGTATCATTTTGTTAGTAAAGTAAAGGGCTGGAAAGCTAAGTTAAACTGTATATCTTCAAGAATGAAAAACAGAAGTAAGTATAGACATAACCTTGATAGAAAGCATGCATATAATTCAGAAAATATCAGGGGTGTTGGCCAGCCATTCTTCACCGAGGGGCATCCCTGCACCCCTCGGCCCTTCTACTCATCAATTGTTTATTATTTATTGCTTTTAGGAGAAAACCTCTATAACATTTTAACAGAAAGCAGAAGGTCAAGAATAATATGTAGATACTTCTTGATCATCCAATTAACCAGCAAACTTAGAAGGACAATGCATATATATTTAGACAAAGAACTGGAGGGAGAAGAAAACATTAACCAGACAGAGGCCATAAACCTAATTCGACATCTTATCTGGGCACAATTCCTTTCTGATTGTCTCAAATGGGACTGTGTGCTCCTCCAATAATTAACTGAAAAATATCTTGATAGTTACCTGGAGGTGGTCACATTCTCTTACTATATTTAATTTTCCCGGGAGGTAGTGCCTCCCAAGCAGCCACCCAAAGGAGTGAAAACTGGAGGTTAAGAAAGGAAAAGGAATGAAGGGCAATTAGAAGCAGCACAGGTTTCAGAACTATGTGAGGGGCTGGCCGGTTATTCTTCACCAAGGGGCGACCCTGCATCCCTCAGCATTAATCGGCTGGACCCTGTCAAACAGCCGATCAAATGATGTAGCCACGGCTCCCAGCACCACCTGCTTCTAGCATATCCCTGACCAGGATTGGACAGAGGGCTCTGCTCAGTTGGCAGGGTTAAAACCTGTCCACTTGGGCCTCCTAAAATGCCCTGAGGATAGACCTACTTAAGGTACAGGTTTTTATTTATTCACAGACAGCTGCTAACGGACTTGCAACATGGCCTTAAAAACGGAAAAAGCATAATTTTTTTAACACAAAAGAAACTGCTTTGAGCATTCCACATTTGGCAGGCCATGTTGGATTTTCTCCTCTCATTTTGGTTATTCATACCTTGATTCTCACATTAAATGTGTGCTACAAGGACAGACTAAGAAGAGAAAGAACCAGGAGGCCTCATCCAGCAGCAAATCTGTTCAAAAGAGAAATGTAGGAAGAATGAATGGAGTCTGACTTCAATTTAATTTCTTACTTAACCTAATTTGAATATTTAAATTTCTACGGGAACTGAAAGGATGAAAAGTAGAAAAAAAGACTCTTGATTATGACTCTCTATGAATCAAGGACTTTGGATTGAGATGTAGCAGGAACCACAGAGTAAGAGAATTGGTCATATTGGAATGTGTTTAAGATTTCAGAGATGAAGCAGTTCTAAGAAGTAAACATGAGAGTAGTTGCCTTTTAGTTAGGTACAAGTAGAAACTCTCAGGTTGAGGACATAGGAACATTGAGAAGTTTGAGTTGTCTACATGAACAAGGATGATATCAACATAATCTGGAAAGAATTATAAACTCTATAAACATATTAATACTATAAAGATAATGAAGAGAGTGCATGGAGAAGTGGGTAAGATAGCAGTGCCACAATAATGTAACCATAGAAGAATAGTCACATACTTCTCTCTTTCTAGGGAATTTAACATCCCCAATTCAATGGGGTCTTATCTGAAAATTTCCTGTTCTAACCTTTGCACCAGACATATTACATTCTGAATAACCATAGGAAAGAAGCACTGGTTGAGACGAGGTTCAAACCTTATCAGTTCAGAACACAACAATGTTCCATATCCCTAGGGTGTAGGGGTGGATAGGGGGCTTTGCTTAGTTGGTTCAGGCTGTGTGTCTCCACCCTTGGCAGTGAAAAGAAGAATGGCAAACCAGCTTCCCAGTAGTTCCCCCAAAGCCGTATCTGTATTTTTTCGGAGATTGTAGTTCAAGAGATTAACCTTATATCTTCACCTTCAACAAAGCTCTAGTCAGAAATTCTACCTCTTCTATTTAATTAGAAATTATACCTAATATTATTCTACTCTAACTCTTGCACATAGTCAACTAGTATTCATTATTTATAAAGCAGTCCTAAAATATCTTCTTGTCTATATTTAATATTGGAAACCCAGTTATCAATTTTGCAAAGGAGGAACAAATATACGCTATCTGCCCCATAATTCCACAGAAAATAAAGAGAATAGAAACTTTGATCCTTCTTTCTTTTCAGAAATTAAAAAAAAATCAGCTGCCACCCCTTCCCTAAGCGTGGAAAAGGGATCATGATTCATGTCTGTGAAAGAGTAGAGAAAGATAGAAAGAAGTTTAATATTAATCCAGACATATTTAATATGTTTATCAAAATGATAATAAGTATAGTTTTCCTCACATGAGGACCTCATCCCAACCAGTGCTTCCTTCTTGTGTTTATTCAGAAGCTAATGCTCAGAATGCAGTATGAGAAGCAAAGGTTAGCAAAGGGAATGTTTAGGAAAAACACCATTGCATGGGGGTATGTTGAATTACTTAAAACGGAGAAACAAGAAAACCCCAAATTGCTACTAGCAACCCTATAATTCCCCTTGAATGTGTCTGGATATTAAAATTTAACAGCATTCTACAGGAAACCAGCCATTTGAATGAATGACTTGAATGGGACAGATGGCAGGAGACGTGAATAATGAGAGGACTGACTAATGGAGAAAATTGAGCAGGTGAAATTCAAATAACATCCACAATCAGAGAGGGCACAAGGGAAGGACAGGCTGTGGAATACCCACTAGTATATTCCTGATCTCCAGGTCATCAATTTGTGGTCTATATAATTGAGATCATGGGGCAAATCCTGATGATCCCCAGTTTGAGGTAGTCACTGCGGCCACCTTATCCTGGATAACCTCCTAGCTGGTTGTCAATGATCCTTGGAACTTCTAACCTGGTAGCTCTTTATAGAGTCACTACCTGTGGGTGCAGGAGATCCGCTGTGAGAAGGAAGTCTGGCTGTTGGGATATATACATGGAATCTTTTGAATGTATAAATCACTTTGATAAGTATTCCTATCCTAATATTGTCTTTCATTTATGAAGATGATTTTCTTTTCACACATTTGTGAATTTTTAATTCTCAAACTATATGGAATATTTGTCTTATTTTCTCATAGTACATTTGTCTGTCTTTGTATCAAGGTCATGCTGTCCTCATAGAATGAGTTAGAGAGTATTCTCTGCTCTTCAATTTTCTGTAAAAATTAAGAATGGTTGTTGTTCATTCTTCTTCAAATGCTTGGTAGAATTCACCACTGAAGGAATCTGGTCCTGGGCATTTCTTTTTTGAGACATTTTTTGTTACTAATTCAACCTCCTTAAAAGTTATTTGTCTACTCACATTTCATATTCCTTCATGATTCAGTCTTTGTAGGTTATGGGTTTCTAGGAATTTTCCATTTCACCAGGATTCCTCCATTTGTTGGCATATAGTTGTCCTTAGTACTTCCTTTTTCATTTCCTTATCAATTTTCTATCTGGTTGTTTTATCTATTATTGAAAGTGAGATATTGAAATTTCCAACTAGTTTTGTATTGGTATCTGTTTCTCTCTTCAATTCTGTCAACGTGGGTTTCATGTGTTTGGAGCTCTGATGTTTGGTACATATATATTTATAACTGTTCTCTATCCTTGGTGGACAGACCCTTTTATCAATGAATAATATCCTTTTTGTTTCTTGTCACCATTTGACATTAATTTATTTAATCTGTTACTAGTATAGCCATGCCAGCTCTCTTTGGTTACTGTATATGTAGAATATCTTTTACCATCTTTCCCTTTAATAGTATTTGTGCCCTTAGATCCAAAGTGAGTCAATTATAGAAAACATATACTTGATTATGTTTTTGATATTCATTCTCCCAACTATTCTTTTTGATTTGGGGAATTTATTTACATTTAAAGGAATTATTGATAGGGAAAGACTTAGATTTTTATTTTTTTATATATGACTTAAGTCTCTTATTTCCTCCATTACTACCTTCCTTGGCATTTAGATGATTTAGCTTAGATGACGTGTTTCAATGCCCTTCTCATTTTCAATTGTGTATATTCTATTGTTGTTTTCTTTGTTGTTACCTTGGGGATTGCAGATAACATTGTAAAGCTGTAATAGTCTGTTTTGAACTGATGCCAAATTAACTGCAATGCCATGCAAAAACTCTACTCTGATAAAGCTCTGTGTACTTCTCCCAATTTATGTTATTGATGTCACTAATTTCATCTTCATACATTGTGTACATACTAACATAGAAGCATAATTAGTTTTATGCATTCATCTCCTAAATCTTGTGAAAATGAAAAAGTAG